GGCTTGAAACAACTCCTTATGACTGGAAGGTTTTGTCGAATAAGATTAGAAAAAATATTCGGGTGGCGACCCACTATCGCTAGAAGTAACAGCGGAAGCAAAGTAAAGGAAGGGGCATGGAGCGGAAGAATGGGGAAGACAAGCGAGGGGAGAGAAAGTGTGGGAAGAACAGAGGGCAATGAACGTGGAAGCTGGGAATGGATAATAGCTGACCTTAGATATTTTGAAAAAAAAAAAAAGAATGGATTTTTTGACTGAACAAGCAGTCATCAAAGATTATTTGTTCCGTTTCACTCAGAATTTACGATAAACATGCATGCTAAAGGTTAAGGATCCGCGTAGCTCTGTGATGCAACACTATCGCCCCAGCCAACGCTCTTTGCCTCCTGCATACAAGAAAAGACCAAAACATAGCCAAAAAAGTGGAAATGTTAAACTGAAAAGCAGCAACCATTCATACTAATAATAACCTGTCTGCTTCAAATTTAGCGCAAAAACGCGTAATCACACCGAAAACCTTGATGCGTACCGCTACTTGGACTTTCTGTTAACACGATAAACAAATGCAGTGCCTTCGAAACCTGGAACGAGCAATGGCTTCACTGGAGTCAATCAAGCAAATTCCGGCGATATTCGGTGTTGCTCCGGGTGGCGTATCATCAGTTCGGGAGGTCGACCGTATTGCCAAGATGCTCAGCAATTTCGTCGAGAAGCTCAGGATTTCAGTAATTTTTGCTACATCTTCTGATATGCATAGATTTCAGTTTCAGTAGGCCCCTATTTGTTTCGGAATAACAGGCAAAAGCCCATGTGGTTTCAATCCTCGTTCAATATTAATGCCTTCATTCCCGGGAACCTTTTCATTTTCCATTTGGAGAGATGCATAGTCTACATTGGTGAAAACTACTGAAGAAACTGATGTTCAGTGCTGTGAATTACAGAAGGCTAGAACGTCGGCGCTTGTTACAGATAGACTTTGCGTAGAATTTGTTTCCGCCCAACGTGCCTGCTGAAAAGTGTATAATAGTTGACAAAAATTTTGAAAAGTGAACAGAAGTTTGAAAGCTACAATTTAGAAGGACTGAAAATAGATAGCGGCGCGCCGATACGATCATGCGTTTTGCGCAGTTCTGTCCAGCGAATGTTTGCCTGCTAAGGATTACCACTGCTCTGCACTTTGGTGTGTGCAAAAATAGTTAAAATTTTGTCTGGTGCTTAAATTACGAATCTTCTAACTAAAGCTTTGCACAGTAAACATCCTTCCAAAACCACCCTAATTTTTTGACTTTTGAGTGATTTTCGCGCCGAAAACTTTACATGTCCGTGCGTGAGACTTGGCATATTTAGAAACTAAATTTGAGTTCGTGTGGCCCTTGCACAGGTAGAAAACATCGTCTCAAAATTTTCAGCTTCCTACCTCTTCTGGCTCCCGGGTAATAATCTTCCCGGCAAAACATTTCGAAGACGTTAAGACCAGGGCGTACGTGGAAGCCGAATTTGAATTTGCTGGGTCGCAGATGGGCAGGACACAATACCCTAAAACTTCAACTTCTCAGCTTTCGTGGTTCTCGAAATAATTTCACCTGCCATAAGTTTCATAGGGTCGTACGCGATATCCAAGGGCAAGGGAAAGGCTGAAATTAAATTTGCGAGGTCACACTTGGGCAGGGGCTACCATCTCAATATTTCAGCTTTCTTGCTTTCATAGTTCTCGAGATAGCAATTTTCCCAGCCGAAACTTTCACAGGGCCGTACGTGATACCTAGATGCGCGGGAAGACTGAAATTTAGATTTCCGAGTGGTTGTATGTAGGCAAGGGACATTACCATATAATTTCGGCCCCTTAGCTTTCGATGTTCCAGTAATAGTAATTTTACCCGCCAAAGCTTTCACGGGGTCGTACGTGATACCCTGGCGTGCGGGGAGGGTGGAGGATTATTTAAGTCTGCTGAGTCATACGTAGGCAAGAGACACTGCTGTAAAATTTCAGCCCCCTAGCTTTTGTGGTTCCCGAGACAATAATTTTCTCCACCAAAACATTCACGAGGTAGAACGTAGCGCCCAGGCGCACGGGGAAACTGAAATTAAGGCTGCGGAGTCATACATGGCCACGTGGGGAGGGGGGGGGGGAATGGTTTCGAGATTCAGAC